CTAATATATATTAGAAGATGGACATATCCATATCAAGCTCCATTTGGAAATATATTATTTTAATATTTTTTTAATTTTTTATGAAAAATATGTAAAAAAATAAAAAAAAATGATATAATAATTTATAATAATTTTTTAACTTTTTAACTAAAATACTTAAGCAGTTACACACATTGGTTGGTATATTTGATTTAACAATTAAAAAAATATATATTTTAGGAACCAAAAAAAAAAATTTGTCACTACTTTATATATATATATATATATATTATGTATAGATATATTATTTGGGAGTAAATGTAATTGTATATGGTTTTTTTGGGTGAATAAGTGTATATATTATTTTTATAGAATGGAACACAAATGTAAGATAAAGGGTGAGTTGCATATGTAATATTTATTCATCTTTTATTTGTGTCTAATTTTATATAAAAAAAAAAATTATGTATTTTCAAAACAGATAATATTGTACCCAAATGCCTTGTAGCGGATTGGAGAGACAAGCAGTCATGCCACTGTCTCTACTCAATTCTTTTCTATATTTTGGGCTCACATTAATTATATATATATTTACAGTAAAAAAAAAATCGCTAGTATTATCTTGTTTCCAAAGAGTTGACTAGAATTTATTTAATCCATGGCCATTATTATTATTGAATATTTAGTGTAAGGATTTCATTATCACTGAGTGTTTTTTCTTCTTTGGTTGAATTATACTAACAGTCCTTATAGTTTGTGATTTATATCACTTTAGTATTTGACTTTGATATATTTGAATCTAAATTTTGAATCTAAAAAATGACAATTGAAGACATTGTTGCTCAATTTGAAGGATAAAATCGTCATACAGCTTATTTTATGTTGGTTAACTTATATGTTGTTTGAAATATAATGACATTTTTTTAAAGACAAAATTAGTCAAAGGTCCCTCTCCGATTTTTAGTAATGGAAGAAATTCACAATATTATTTTATAATGTCTAAGGTCCCTCAAATCTACACTTATATATCACACTCCTCTCACCATTTCGCTTTCTCTCTCGTCTCTCGTCTCTCCTCTCTCTCTGTGCCCTTTAATCGATTCCCAATTCTTTCTTTCAAACCCATTTCGCTCTCCTTCCTCCCCCTTCATTTTTTGTTTCTTTTGGATTTTCTTCTTTGATTTTTCATTGTTTTAGGTACTTGTCAATTCACCTAATCTCTCTCTCTCTCTCAGTTGGTTATGATTTGGGTTATGATTGTTTCTTGTATTCAATTGAATTCGTCTACGGATTGATCATGGGAAGTCTTTTTCTAATTTTGCAAAATTAGGGTTACTATAGCATAATTTCAGAGTATCTCTTTGTACCCTCTTCTTTATTTTATTTTTTTCTTTTTTCTTTTAATTTTGTTTTTAGAGTTTCAATTTATTCCTCAGATTGCATTTTTTTTATTAGGGTTTCAAATTCTCTCTTATTCAGGTTGGAAATTTACAATTTATTTTGCAAATTTTCAGGTTTTAATTTGTGACCCATCAATCTTATCTTGTTTTTGAACTTCTTTTATTTCAAAAGTTCTATTCCTGAGACTACCTCGTCACCATTTGTTATTATCAGCAATGTCTTTTCTCTCTCTAGAAATTGTTTCCCTGTTTTTTGTTCAGGTAATTTCATTTCCTTTTTGGTTGAAAAATATTTCTACTTTTTGTGATTTGTGAGAAAATCAGAATTTCTCTGAGATGGATCCAAAATTTCCATGGGATGGATCTAGAATTCCCCTGGAACAAAATTTGTGAAAGGTTCAAGGGTTAGAGAAATTTGGTGTTAGTTCAGAGAAATTTGTGAAAGGTTCAAAGGTTTTCGATGTTAGTTCAGAGATCCAGAGAAATTTTATTAAAATGAACCTAAAGAAATTTGAATTTTCTTTGGTTTACAAATGAATCCAGAGAAATTTGAATTTGAATTTGAACTCAGAGAAAATTGGTCAAAAATTGACCTAGAGAAATTTGAATTTTCTCTGGATTGAACCCAGAGAAATTTTTGGGAAGTCCAGAATTTCTTTGGAAAGAATTTCTCTATGAAGAATTTTTCTGAATCAATGTTGAGGGACCTTAGATATTATGAAAATATTGAATGTTCTTTATGCTATAAAATCTTAATATCAGGGACCCTAAAAAAAAACCCTTTTTTTAATAAATAATGTTGGAACTTTTTTGGTTATAAAGTTCTGTTTGGTTTGGTTTTAAGAATTTATTTTCAGGAAAATTTTCTAAGAAACTAAAAGTTAAATTGGTAAAAAAAATTTAAAAATACATCATTTTTATATAATTTATCTTTTGGGAGGGGTAAAAATAATTTTTTTTGATATTTATTTTCGTGAAAGTAGTTTTTATTTTTTCAAAAGTCAAACATGACAACAACTTTGATATCATTTTTGAATTAATCCATTAAATCTAAAAATCCAAAATTAAAACCATTTCACATATTAAATATATTAATTATATGTTAAAAGCCTAATAATCATCTATTACATTATAACAATCTAAAAATATCAACAAAAACAATCACCCATTACATGATCATCATCTAAATACATACTAAAACTAATTTGGTAAAATAATAAAAAAAATTATCATTTTTATATAACTTTATCTTTAGTGAATAGAAATAATTTTTAAAAATTTAAAATTAATGTTTTGGTATTTATTTTTATCTAACTGGTTTATATTTGATGAAATTGACAATTTTACCCTTTAAATGGAGGAACAATGTATTCAATTGTCCTTATTCGGAACGAAATTCAAAATTCAAGATTAAATGTATCACAATTAAAAAGTCATGAATCAAATTAACACAAGTTCCAAACTACTGGCACGGTTAATATAATTCACTTTTATTTTTTTATTTTTTATTTCCCCAATGGGTGGTTGTTTTAATAATTTTTTTAAATATTTTTTTTTGTTAAATTAGTTTTTATTTTTTTCAAAAGTCAAACATGACGACAATTTTGATGTCATTATTGAATCATTCCATTAAATCAAAAAATCCAAAATTAAAACCATTTCTTATATTAAACATATTGATTATATATTAAAAACCTAAAAGTCATCCATTACATGATAACTATCTAAAAATATCAACAAAAACAATCACACATTACATGATCATCATCTAAACACATACTAAAATTAATTTGGTAAAATAATAAATAAAAAAAATTATCATTTTTTTATAACTTTATCTTTGGTGAGTAAAAATAATTTTTAAAATTTTAAAAATAATGTTTTGACATTTATTTTTGTCTAATTAGTTTATATTTTATCAAATTAACAATTTTTCTCTTGAAATGGAGAAATAATATTTTCAATTATCCTTATTCGGAACAAAATTTAAAATTCAAGATTAAATGTATCACAATTGAAAAGTCAGTGATCAAAATAATACAAGCTCCAAACTATAGGGACTGTTAATATAATTCACTGTTAATATAATTCCAGAGATGTCAAATCAGAGATGTTGAGCGCATAGGAGTCATGAACCAGACTGCAGAACCCACGAGTCACAACGTTAGGAAGTTGAACCAGAACTTAATGAAGGAAGCGACGAACAACTTTTAGGGTTTCAGTAGTGGCTCTGATACCACGTAAGTTTCTAAATATTTCTATATATTCAAATGTATTTTTGATATAAAGAGTACATTACTTATATAGAACTCTAATACCTAAGACTAAAAAGGATATACGAATTACACAGAATATTTATACAATCACAATCATTCTAAATTCTTAAAATACAATGCAGGCAATATAGGCAATATATTTCTCACACAAAACAGTGCCTCTTGGTAGAGAAAATGTAACTTTAGGGCATATCTTTATTTACGTATCAGGGTTGTGTATTGAACTTCATTTCACATCTCTATTATTTGGTAATAAAACTTCTGTCCAAAATTAAAAATTGAAAAAAAAAAAATACCCCATCATCTGAAGTGAAGGGCGGGCCTGGCGTAGCGGTAAAACTACATCTTGGTGACCTAGTGGTCACTGAGTCGAGTCGTGGAAACAACCTCTCTGTTTGTGGGGGGTAAGGATGTATATTTCAACCCTTCCCTAGACCCTGCTTAAGTGAGAGTTTTGTACACTGAGTACACCCTTTACACCATCATCTAATGTCATGGTACAGAGTTCACCTACATTATATTACATATATTATAGGTTTGTCACCCACACAATTCAATACATATTTTATATATCTCCATCTAGGTTTCAACGAAATTCTAATCCACAGATTTGTACCTGAAAAGAAATTAATACAGACAAATCACTATCCAAAGCAACTCTAGTGGAAAATAAAAAAAAAAACTTTGCAACATATGGAGAATGAAATCACACAGCTGCAAGAACAAGATGAAAATATATGGATGAGCTGAGGTAAAGGTTCAAAATTAAAACCTTTCAAGTAGTCACATATCAGGACATCCCTTGGCAGCTGCATAACTCTAGTTCTGCATCCTTCAGCAAAACACATTCAAGGCTCAGAGGTGGCCTAAAATCGAAGAATGCAGAGCCTAATTACATTAAACATACCCGTAGCTCATCATAAGCTCTCCTATTTGTTGTTAGTTTGATGCCGAGAATGAACACTTGCCTACAGCAAGAGAGAGTGGCAAACATTAACATCGTTATTAGAGATTTGGAAGCAAGGTGTACAAACTTCCTACTTAATCCCTGGAAAATGCAGGGGAAGCGTCAATAATGTCCTGAAAATTACTACTTACATTGCCAAATGGTATGGAGATAATCAACTATTTGAAGAATGGAACCACAAAAATTTCATATTATTGGTGCTTTCCTAAAACCCCAAAATCCCAAAAATTGAGGAACTTTACATACTCCACTTAACGCAAAAGAGAAAAATACACATACAATACAAGTAAAGAGAAAACTATAAGTATTATCACAATGGCATTTCCCCATATAATAACATTCTTAACAACAAAGAGTATATCTGACATTGTGAATTTATGAAATCTATTAACTATACATCTAATCATCATTTGCAAATTTTAATGCACTAAGCATTCAAATATAGTAGGAATTAACCAAGAGGATATCCAACTTTTTACTAATAAATGTCAAAACAGTAAACGGCCCAATCGACATAAGATACACAAGGTGAGTTCAGAAATGTCCATTGCATTATAGAAGTTTGTGGTACAAACATTTCATCAAGACCATTACAGAATTATATAACCAAAATAGAATCAAAAAGAAAAACAAAACAAAATTTATCCGTTTCTTACAACGAACTACAATCACTATACCTAGGGTAAAACAAATTCTACTCATAGAAAATGAACAGAAGAGGGAGAGAATAAACTGAGGGGGAAGGGATTTCTTTTTTCCCTGTCAACTAAGAGGCATGCTGGTAGCAGTAGAAACTAGGTTCCTTAGCTCCATCAGATGTTCATCATTTGATATATGGAGCGAAAGGCGAAGATTTGTCACCAATGTTTCCTGTTCCCAACTTAAGGGTCCCAATGCATGCAATGCTTCAATAGTGCAACGGTAAGCATGTAACTCTAACCTATGAATTTCTTCTGCCAATTCCACCTGACTGGGAAGGAAACAATTCCGTTCCTTAAAGCCCCTATAACAAACAGACTCAGCATCACTACAATTTCCTTCAGTATCTTCAACAGGACCTCTAGCAAAATTACAACACAACTTAAAGGAATCATTGCTAGTAATGCTACAACTAGCCACAGAGCATGTAATATTGTCTGCATCATTAGGTTCTAAGCTAATTGCATGCGAACACCCAACAGCTCCACTTGGTTTCTCCCTCTCCACATCAACTTCAGTAAAGTGAGTTGTTCTGTTGTTAAAATAAGTATAAAAGTTTTTTTCACCCTGCATTTCTTGATGGGAAGCAGCAGCATCTATCTTTTCAGGTAAAGGGGATGGATTTGCAGCAAGCAGACAATGACACCTACCCTCTTTCGCAATTACTTTAAACTTCTGGGAAGTTCTTGCAGGTGCATCAACTTGAGAATAACAATCGGGCAATCCTCTCTTCAGAGTTCTAGAGGAAACAATATGTGATTCTTGGAAATTGTTATTGCTCTTAGCAGCACAAAGCTCCTTATTTACAGGGAAATCCATCCCTCTTTTTGTTTTCTTAACTTGGGAACTCAACTGATTGTGTTTCAGAGTTGACCATTCACTACATTTCCCATCTTCACAGTTACCAACACCCTGCTTGCACCCCCAAAAAAAAAAACAAGAAAAAAAAAAAGAGAGATAAAATCAATATAAAGTTGATCCCATTAAAACTATTGTTAAATTGTATGACAACAAAAAAAATTAAAATAAAAAAAATTAGAACATGATCAATATTGCTCTAGAAGCCCCAAAATAACTCAACTAGTTCAAATGTCATTAATAACATATCCAAAAAAACTTGAATCTAATTATTCTCAAGTGTTAACTTATCATATCCGCGTAAGAGTGCCAGCTATAAATGGATTTGTGGAAAATTTGGGAAGCAGAAGATGAAAATTTTAGCGGAAGCAAGAGAATTCAAAACAAGAACTCCTAAATAATATATAAATAAAGACCGGACACTGGAATATTTGAGTTGCAAGCCTAAAACAGATTCAGATAAAACTACCTTTCCAATCACGAACCATTTGCCACCCTGCCAAGATTGTCGCACCCGGAGGTCAACTTTACTGACTTCGAATTCATGGGAGGATCCAAGTAACCTAACCAAAAAGCAATTCCTACCCAAAACCTTAGAAACAGTTGTCATCTTCCAAGAAAAATTCTGAAACACCTCTACAACATCACCAGGAACACAATTCTCCGATAGTTTCACCGGAGGAGGACAGGGCCTAATTGACTTCCTAGATACCCTTTCAACAATCGCCTCATCGGTAGCACCAGGGTCCATCTCGTATCTAACAGTGTAGTTGTGCCCATTACCACAGATTATCTCAGCACAACGCCATGACCCTGATGGCACCTCATTCTTGCTCAGGACCTCAACAATTCTCCCTTTCTTGTATCTCACGATCACTATATTCTCAGCCCCAAATTCCAATGCAGGAAACCTATTTTTCAATCACAACATAAAATAAGAAACCAAATAGACCCAAAAAAAAGAAAAAAGAAAAAAGAAAAAAAATAGAAACCATAAAATAAAACTCAAATGAACAAATCAAAACATCTAGCAATGCAAAAGAATGATGAGATTAATGTTGCGTTTCATTTCCCTTTCCAAATCCATACTCAAATCCATAATGATCCAAACACAGACTAAGAGAATTGGAAACAATTAAGGAATTTGTAGAGAGAGATAGAACTATCTCGCAGTAATTTAAAAGTTACAGATAACTATTATATCAGACAAGATGCATACATTCCATTGAATTCTTGTACTGACTATGTTAATGGAAACTGCCACAATTGATATCACCTCTATTATATATCTACATTTTTGCAAATATAAAGTCCTCTCTATATATATAGACATTACATGTACCAAATATAGTGATCAGATGAATTATGGGAAAAGCAACATTAAATACATAAACCTAAACCTAAACCTAAAGATCATCATACTATGTCCACCTGCGCCACAAAAAACAGCAATCTTTACAACAAGAAATGGCAGCAGAAAATTACCAGACAAACCAAACAAAATAAAAAATCAAGTAATTTCAACAATGAGAAACCAACACGCAGTCCAAACTTACTTTCAGAGAACAGAAAATTGTTTTCTGAAAACAATTTACATTAAAAGCAGAAAAGAAGAGAAGAGAAGCGAAGCGAAGAGATTTCACTAACCTTATCGGCGATTTGAGATTTCGATCGAGAGAGTGGTTTGGATTGGTATGTGGGGAATTTGGTTTTGTTTTCAGTCTCTTGTTAACATTGTTGTTGTGGTGGTGATGGTGGTTGTTGTTGTGGGTGGGTGTTTTTTGTGTTTCTGTTTTTAAAAAACAAAAACAAATCTGTTTTCTTTTTGTTTAATAAATAAACAAACAAAGAATAATGAAATGCATTGTATGCCAAGTTGCCAGCTCCCCAAGAATAGCTTTGTTTGGTTGAAAGGATTTTTCACTGCTCTACGTTATTGTGTGCCTGGTGCGTGTTGCGCACTCCGTCCTTTTTGGATTGGGTAAATTACACTTACACCTCTGAAGTTTTGATTTAATACATATCATTCTTAACGGTTGAAAAATTACACTAACCTCTATCATTGTAATTGTTTAGACGGAATGAGAATATTAAATTCATGCACTTTCTCTTTTCTTATTTTGCTTTACTTCTTACTTTCTTTTTTTTTTCCCTTTACTTTACTTTTTTTTTCTCTCAATGGAATTTCTTATATTTTTCTATTAAAAGTTGTTGTCTTTTATATAAGCAGGGGTTTGTGAAATGAGACTATTAACCACATGGGTGGAAATGTAATTTTCGGAATATCAAGGAGTGGGATGTAATTAAACCAAACCTCGAAGGGGTCAGTATAATTTAGCCTTTGTTTGGGAAGTTGGAGTTGGGACTTTTTTGGCTAAAATAGCCAAAAAAAATAAAATAAAATAGGTTTTTTAGCTCAATAGGACAAAACATCACATCCAATCTATAAGCATTACATTTTTTCTCTCACAAAAGGTCAAAAATGCCAAAAAATATTTTCCAAACGAGACTTTTTAACTCCAAGTTAAAAAAACCAAAAAGCTAAAAAGTCAATGTATTTTCCAAACGAATCCTTATCCTTTTGGATTTTTCCCCATTATTTCTTTATTTGTTATTACTTGTATTATTAGTCTCTTTTTTTTTTTCTTTTTCTTTTTTTAAAAGATAGTATTATCAGTCAATATTTGGATTCCGTTTTTTTTTTTCCCAATTATTTGTTATTACTATTAGCTAAAAACAAGAATTTGATTTTTTTTTCAGTTATTTGTCATCACTATTTACTAAAAATAATAATTTTGAGATTTACGAGTAGGGCTGCAAACGAACCGAGCTGTTCATGAACAAGCTCGGCTCGGCTCGGCTCGGCTCGTTTAGTAAACGAGTCGAGCTCGAGCTCGAATATTAGGCTCGTTTAGTAAGACGAGCCCGGACTCGAGCTCGCATAAGCTCGGTCGTTTATCTTTATTTAAATTATATAATAAATATATTATTATATATTTAAAATATATAAATATATATATAAATAATAATATAAATAAATTTTTATATATTAAATAATATAAATAATATTTTTTATTTAAATATTTATATTTAAATAATATTAAATAATATTAAAAAAAATTATCGAGTCGAGCCGAGCCGAGCCGAGCTCGAGCCCAATTCTTTATCAAGCCGAACTCGAGCTCAATAAACAAGCTCGATAAGTAAACGAGCCGAACTCGAAACTCAAAAACAAGCTCGATAAGTAAACGAGCCGAGCTCGAGTCAGCAAAGCTCGACTCGGCTCGGTTCGTTTGCAGCCCTATTTACGAGTGTCTCATCAGTACAAACTTACAACTAGAGGGTTTGACGCCTAATTACAAAAAGTTGGATTGATCTTCCGACCCCTTCTTCACTCTTAAAACAATTCACTATATTCGGCTTCAAAAAATTAAGTTTTTTATTTTTTGTATTTTTTAGTGAATTTTTTTTCAATATTTTACATAATTTTTTTTATTTTTTAAATGCACCTAATTTAAATAAGCTTAAAAGGCATAATTTGTGAAGAAAAAAAAAACTTTAAAAAATTTACCAAATACAAAAAATAAAAAATATAAATTCAATACATTTCTGTATTTTGTTGTATTCAATGAATTTTTTAAAATTTTTTGTACAAATTTCTTACTTTTTAAGTATATTAAAATTAAGTGGATTTAAAAATTAAAAAAAAATGATTAAAATATTTTTAAAAATTATTAAAAAAAAAATACGAATTGAAAACTTATAAAACAGTTTTTGAAAACTAAAATGTTTCTAAAAATTAATAATTGGCTACATTTTCTTCATGTTAAATTAATCTTTGGTACCAAAAAATTAGTGATCCTTAAAATAAACATTAGTGATCCTTATACTTGATAAATAGGTGTTTTGGGAAGTGTTTTTCTTTTCTTTTCTTTTTTTGGCTTTTTTCTTTTGGCTTATTTTCTTCTTTAGTGAACTTATTTTTAAAATTTTCAAAATGCTTTAGGTTTCTAGATTCAGCTCAACAAGACAAATCGAAAAATTATAGGGCTCGTTTGGTTTGATTTTCTGAAAAAAATTTGGGAAATTTTCTCTAGAAATAAGTTTTCAAAAATAACCAAACCAAACAAATTTTTCCAAAAAAATTTCCCAAAACTTGTAAACCAAACAAGTTTTCCAAACAAATCTCTCTCTCACACACATCAAATCAATCACTTTTTTCAAAACTCTATCTCAAAATAATTTTCCAAAACATCTTTTAAAAAAAACCAAACCAAACATGTTTTCGTACTTTTTATCTCTAAAACACATCTCTCAAACACAAACCAAACATACCCATAATTTTTCTTTTAAAAAATCCAACAAAAATAAGCCAAAATAAGCAATCTTTTTTTGCTTATTTTTGTCTTTAGTGATTTTTTTCTGGAATTTTTCAAAAAAAAATATACACATTTTAGATTTGTCTTGACAAGATGGAACATAATTTTTAAAAAAAAATTACTAAAAAAAAAAAAATTAGGAAGAGAGGTGAGTTTTTTTTTTTTTTTTGTTGCCAAAATAGGCCAAATTGAATTTATTGAATAATTAATTACTCAATAAAATTTTATTCAAATTCGCATAAAAACAATAATCAAATTGTTTTTGACAATTTTAATATTTTGTGAGAGAGATGACATTGTTAAAGCATCTTTTGATATTCTTGGATAAATGCGAGTTTCCATTTGGTTTGAAAATGGTGGAAACATGAGAAAATGCACTAACAACTTCTATCTCCATTTTCAAGTAGCACAAGTAAAAAAAAAAATTCCCTCACAAGTAAATGAAATTTTATTAAAATGAAACTAACCAATCAAATTTTTTTATTAATGTTAGGCCTTTTATTATTAGCAATCTCATTGGACAAAACGCCATTTAATTGAAACTGCATTTGTTCTTTTATTTTTGTAAGAATGAATGTTTTAGATAAGAATCCAACTCAATTTATGCTCAAAGCAAAGTAGTTTGTACTCAAGTAGAGATATGTACGATCGAGCGCAAAAAGTTGTGCTCGAGTGGTCAAGACATACTTGCAGCTCAAGTAGAGATATGTATGCTCGAGCACAAAAAGTTGCGCTCAAGATCTTGAGTGGAGAAAAAGTTTTGCTCAAGCGGTTTAAGTTGATTCAATAACTGAAAATGCATTGTTTGTCAAATCTAAGCTGAGACTCTCAGATATTCATCTCCAAAATTCGAAAAACAGAAAGAGAGTTTTCTAATGAGATCTACATGTGTACCTTGATGAATTAAGAATGATCTATGGATCAACATGCTTACATTGAATATCATCAAAGGGTTTGTACTTCAAATACACCTTATTAGAATTCCTTGTTCGCTCCATTATATTGCTTTTGTCCAATTTTTTCTTCAAAAATATTTTGTTTTTAGAGGTATTTTTTTTTTTTTGTTTTATCTTAGGAGGTTTCTCGGGTCAATCGTTGAGGGCGAGTTTGTTGAGTGATGGCATGCCAGATTAGTTGTTAAAGGGAGATTGATGCAAGCTGTTTTGCAAGGTGATCTGTAATGTTCATTTATCACATGCTAATGATGGGTATTCCATTGTCTATTCCCTTTTCTTATGGTTGTACACGTCTCTTCTTGATTTACATTGGTATAATCTACTATTTGCACTATTGGTGCTTATTGTTTATTGCTATGGTCTCTTGTCCTTTTGATGATTGCGCTTCCTTTGTCAATTCATGACAAAAAACCAAAAACAAAAGCAAAAAAAGAGTAGATTTTTGAATAGTGTTTTTGCATGATGTTCTTGTCATATTGTCACATGCATGATGTTCATGTCATATTCTTGTGGTACAACATTTGTTTTGCAGATTGTGAGTTTGAGAGGTTCATTTTTTTCTTGATGTAATTGGTTGTGGTGCTTAGGAATTCTTTGTTAAATGAGTTTTGTCATGGAATTGTCAAAGGAAGAGATTGTAATGCCTTTTGTAGTTGGTAACCCTGTTGGACAAAACTCCATTCAATTGCAATTGTATTTATTCTTTTGTTTTTGTGAGAATACGCGTTTTGGATGCGATTCCAATCCAATTTGTGCTCAAAGCAGAGCAATTTGTGTTCAAGCAGAGATATGTGCGCTCGAGCAAAGTAAGTTGCACTTGAGTGGTTAAGACATGCTTGCAGCTTTTCAAACCTTTAGTGTAAAATATTGCAATGTCACAAAGTGTGTGTCACAACCCAAACCCGAGTATGACCGGCCGTGGCCCACATGACCTTAGCCCAAGGCACACGTAAGCCTAAATATGAATCCGTACACATTGAATAACTATAAAATAGTCCATTAATAAATAACCAAAACTCAATCCAGTGCCATGCCACAAGTATAAACGGCAAAACCAACCGTAATCAATACCATTCAAACTTATGAGATATAAACAACCCACATATCAAAATAATCCTAAATGAACCTCAATAAAAATAAATATAAATATGCACAAACTTGATATAACAGTCTAAAACAAAATAAATGAATGTCCTAGAGGTTCATGCAATTTAGTCTCCGTTACGCCATGAGTCCACTCTAAGTCCTTCTAACACCTAGAAATGGTAAACAACTAAGTCAGCTGATAGCTCAATGAGTAGCAACATGGATAGTAAATACAGTTTTGAAAACAGGGTTCAATTCCAAAATAAGAAATATATCACAGAAAATTAGATTGGCATATAGTTTGGTAAAGAGAATCTATTTTAAAAAGAAGGTTCCACAGTTCAATAGTTAAAATACTCGTGTCTCTCGAGAATATGATAAATGACATTTTTCACTTAAAACAGATTACAACATGAACACCAATAATTTTCTAGGTACCAAGAAAATAACAAGTAATATGCCACACAGTTCTCAAGG